TTAGTGACTCTAAAAATATAGAAATCTAGAACGAAATTTTTTTAGAGTTGCTTAGCTTTTCATTTTTCCGGAATCGAAAGTCGAGATTGCAAAATTCAAGTGAAAAGCAAACCGACTGTGATTTACGCCTTAAATAAGTCAAGATACTTTTTTCCGTCATACAACGAGTTACATATCGTAAATATCATTCTTCTTGATGCTTTTCCCGATACCTCCGTTGATTAATATAGCAGTAAAAATATTGTTCCAGTCAAGCTAATTCAAAAGTCAAGCAGGAAAATTGCTTCACTTTTGAATTAGCGAAGTATAACCTGGTAACATTTTGGCTTTACAATACGATTGTTTTTTGCAAGTTACAAAACGCAAATATAATTCTTCTTGGTGCCTTTCCGGATGCCACCGATGCCTTTCCCGATGCCTCCATTGTTTAATACAGCAGTAAAAGATATATATTTTATTTAGCGAAGTATACTGTTAACATTTCGGCTTTACAACGCTATTGTTTTCTGCAACTACAACTGATATATCTCTACATGAGGTATTAAATTTGTTTCTCCGCTTATCACTGGTATTTCGGTCATTTCTTCATCCCCCGCTCGTCGCCCGTTATGTAGTAACTCCCAACTGTAACCCTACATCAGATGACATTTCAGTATCATCCTGAATTTTTGGCCTGAGAACGTGTGGAAATGGTAATGGTATGATTCACTTTATAACGTAGAGTTACATCATCCTACGATCCCAGTGTTATACACTATTTATCAATATTAATTGGGATGTATAGCAATGAATATGCAACTGTCATACAAACATAAAGGGGGTAATTTTCTAAAGAAATTGTGGTGGTGTGTCACTGGGGGAGTATGGCAAGATAATTTTGGTTTTATCATCTGAGTCTACAATGTAAATTTTCCGCCATAAAAAGTTTCAAAGCTGATATTTCAAGGAGTTAGCCCTTCACAGGGTTGTAGATAAGAGCCGACAGCCGGCGAAGTACGCCGGCTTCTCTGCAAGGTTTCGCCGGCTACTTTCACTGCTTCGAGAGCCCGTACAGAGATGATGTTTATCGGGTCTAAACTTGGGCTCAATAAAAATATAAATTTGCACTGCCTATCTTTTCTGAAAACATAAAAAGACCTTGGACTCAAGGTTAGTTTAAAAACGTTCTGATAAGGACTGTCTTTTTGACAAATCTTGCTACGGCGGCAGGAAAGTACAAACGATATGACGCCTTGTCCGCCAAATCGGATTTCGAGACCCGCAACCGTTTACCTTTAACAAAGCTCTGGCTACTTAAACCCTAAAGAAAACCCTGCCTTCATCCTTCACTCCGACGAAGAAAACTAAAGGCGGTCATGTTTAGAATGTCATCAGTTTTTTTCGGTAGTTTAAATATTTTTTAAGGAGAAATTCCCTTCTTTTGTGTTTCATTGGATGCACACACATCATCAACATATACAATGTGAAAACGAGGCAATTTTGTAAAATTGACATGAGTTGCAAAGAATTACTAGCTATGGTATGATATGCATGTGACATATTGGTGAGGAAAATTAGATAACTTAGAGAATTTCATCTAAAAATCATACTTTTCTGTTTAGGATGCATCTTTTCGAATTAATCTTCGACTAATTGCAATGAAATAGGTAGCAGGAGACCATGCAGTGGTATGCTAATGTTATTACTGAATTTTCAGTCATTCAGAGATTGGAGGAATAATCCGGTCCAAAATAGGAATGATGGTGAAGTGCATTGGATTGAACCAGGCCCTCCATTAGGCTCCTTCATGTCATTTAATGACTTTCGTCTGTATGTATGCCTTCATTTCAAGTCTTGATTTCAATTTTTCAGAAAGCTTAGTCCAATGAGGCCATTATTTTATTAGTTTCTTCAATTTGAAACGCAGAAAAAAGTGAAAAACAGAATGTGTATGAAATTTTATTGTGTTTTAAGGAAAATGTCAGCTAAGGGTGGGAAAACTAAACCATAAACACGGATGGTAACAAGTTTGAGATTTGTTTGCAAACCCTGAACTTTATCATGATTGGTCAATATGGAATGGACCTGTCAGAATCAAATAAATTGAGCTAACCTTTTTTCTGAGCTTTCCAGAGACTGGTAAGTGTTGAGAGTTAAGATGAACATTCATTGAAATTTGTCTCTCCATTGCAGACTGATGTCAAATTACCCTTATTACAGTTAACAATGGCTGATAAGCCACACTCGCAAATATGCCACACCCCAAGTTTAGCAACTCAAATTTTGAAAAAGAGTGTTTGAAAAGAAATCAAAGAAACAACAAGTGCAGTAAGAAAGTTGCTTTATATTGGTTGCTTCAACAAATGCACACACACAAATTCTCCTACACTGAAAACAGAATACTTTGAATCCTTACCGATAATTTCAGCTGAAATGATTTGTACACCATATCTTCTAAAATAAATGTGTTTGATCCTATACTAGTATTGTTCAACAAATATCTTTTTCACTCCTGTCAGACTTCCAATGTGAACAATTTGACCTAAATCAACTGGAAATTTGTTTGTTTGTTGGTTAGGTTGTTGTTAGCTTAGTGCTCAGGCATTTGATACAGACTTTGAATTTTCTATAACTAGTTTCAACCTATTGATAGTTGACGCGTGTTTTCCAGATGTTCTCTTGGACCCCAAATTTGTTTTGAAAACTTTGGAAAAAGGTGTGGCATATCTGCCAATGTTTACAGAACATGTTTATTTTATATGGTGAATTTTTACATTTCTTAACTTGAATTATTTTGCGATTGTTGTTACAACTTTCTTTATGATTACTAATGATACTTTTAGTTCTGATTTTGTTGGCCTGAAGATAGAAGACAGCTCTAAATGTTATGAAAAATGGTTTCCTTTAGGTCTGAACAACTACGTGCTGGAGTTTACGCCATGAGCTTTAATACACCATCCATATTTCAAAGAATACCCTTACCCTAGTTCTTAGCAGACTGGTAAGTACTGTCAAAACAAGTTTTGAAATAGTGTTAACTTCTTGTATTTCATAATGTGCTTGTTTCTTGTTTGTGGAATATCAAAAAGACATTTAAGAAAAAAAAAGATACTTCCATATACTAGATAATAACACATGGGCCAGTGCAGATATCAAACTTCTTTGCAAGTGTTCAACTCTATATATTATGATTGAGTGTGGCAAATGCACAAGATATTGAGTCGAACAAAAGAAGATAAACTTTATATCTACAAGCAAACATGTTTTACTTTGTTTAATATATAAACACCAGAAGCCTTTATTGACAAGAAAAGTAGACTTAATCAATGGTAAACTCTCTGTCATTCCTTTATCAACCTAACAGGTCTGACAGAGTGATGTGTCAGCAGCTAATTGGCAGTATCAAACACATGTAAAAAAAGTTATTTTAATTTTACACGTGTGTAGTTGCCATTTCTCAGGGCTGGAAACCCTTGTGAAACACCACAGTTCATATGATAAAATGAATTTATGCACGTCCTGTTCAAATGATGCCTGATTGTACTTGTAAAGTCTGCCTGGTAAGATGGGCATGGTAAGATTTTCCATCACGATTCAATCAAGACTGAAGAGCTTACCCTGCTTTCTGTGCCAGTTTTTATATTGCTCCCCTAAGCTGGGATACACTTATCAAGTGTATCAAGTTATCCCATGAAGAAAGACTCAGTGAGAGTTAACCCTTTGACTGTGAAGATTGGATTGTTAATTCTCCCGTCTAGCTGCTACATAGTTCCTTGTTAAATTAGTTACAAGAATTTGCTGATAGATCACGATAACAACTTTTTTCTGATAAGTTCGAGTATTTCCATTACCTGTTTGCTGGATAGTGTATGAATATTATAGGGAGAAGTTGCATAATAATAATAATTGACACTCCCCCATTAAGGCTTTTCAGGGCCAGTACAAGCAAATTATAAATAGACATCTTATCACATAAACTGCAGTGTTATACAAGGATTTCCAGCCCTGAGAAAAGCTGTGACAACTTGCTTGAAAAAATGTTATTTTTTCATGTGTTTTTTTATGTCATCGATCTGCTGCTGACATGTCACTTGCCTCCTTAGCCACTTTGTCATGTTGATGCATGAATGGCAAAGCCTTCACCATTCTTAATCCGAGTTCATTTCCTGGAACTTTTGTGGATTATGGATGCTTAAACACTGAAAATGTTTTATTGCTAACAACAGTGATGTTCAAAATTTTCAAGGAGGGGAAGGAAATCAAAATATGTGAAGAAAAATTGAAAATTAGATAGTCAGTGGCTTTGCTTTGCGGCTGAGAACCAAAACGGATCAACAACTGGAAGATATGCCACAGGCCGATTTTGGCCTTGTGCTTGAAAAGAGTTCTTCTTTTGGAAAGGGAAAGTCAATAACTGAGGATTTTGCAAATTGAAAGTAATTTCCATTGTGTGTATTTGTAACGATTCAACACATTTTTCATCTTGAGCTTTATAGCCAACATGCTTTAGGCAGATATTTTTTTTGCTTACTATGGATCCTCATTTTCCCATTCATTGATAAAGTCAACTTTTCTTTTCAGTAACGGGTTATTGTGTTTATAATAAACAAAATAATGCACAGTTGTTTGTAGATATGGAATTTCTCTTCTTGTTTTTCTACTAAATTTTTCACTCCTTTGTTGTGCTCACTCGTGAGCTATTGAGTAGACCACTTGAAGAGAAATTCCATATCTACAGGTGCCCATGTATTTTCCCTATTTGAATAATGAAAGTTTAAAAATCCTAACTGGTCAGAGGCAGACCATTTGGCTATATGCAAAGCATAGCCAAAGAGTTGAATCCAACGAGTAGTAGGACGGAGGGCTGAAACCCAGAACCACAAGATTACAAGTCCAGCACCCTAACCACTTAGCCACACTGCCCCCTCAAAGTTTTTCCAGCATACCACAGAAGTGTATTTCTTGCAAGGATTTGATAATTGCTTTGCATCATTTCTCTATTTTTTTTAATGAGGACTAACATGATTGCTCAGTCACAAGTAGGAACTGGAAGAACTGCTGTCTTTGTGTTGGCTATGCTAAGCAGAGTTCATGTTACAAGGCCCTTTCCACAGGTAGGCAACCACATATTTCTATTATGGGCTACAATGCAGTTGTCTTATTAGGGGGAGTTAACATTACAAGCTTATGATCAGTAATCCCACTGGCCATCTCCTCCCTTTTGGATGTCAGTCACCCCCCTTAGTACAGATTTCTTTCTCTCCCCAGCCTTCAGCTGCTGTAAAACTCAAAACATGGCAGCAGTAATTTTCACCAAGAAAATACTGAGGACTTGCTCGCCAAAATTAAACCTATCTTGGTGATTTTAACACTACCGTAGCAGTAATTTTCCAAATGGATTGTTAAAAGTTCTTGATTTTTCAGATGAAGGAAGATAATTATAAAATGATAAAAATTGCATTTTTTCACAGTTATGTTTTGCACGTGCTAATTGAAATTTTGTTGTCAAAATATGTATTTGATAAGAGTATAGAGGTGCAGTGGGTTAATAAAACTGAAGGTGAAAAAAATAATGATGTTGATGTAGCAGGTGTCATTTTTCATGGTTCCATATTGTTTGTTTTCAGGTAGTGTGTTTATCACCAACATATAACCTGGCATTACAAAGGGGCGAAGTTGCTAAAAGAATGGGACACTTCTTGCCAGAGATCAAAATTGGTTATGCAGTAAGAGGAGAAAGGGGTGAGGAATTTTGCAAAAAACATAATAAAACTGCTAACCCTTTACACCCTACATCAGTATGAAAACTCTCCCTACTGTTCTGTATACATTTTCTTAAGTGCTGAAAAGGAGAATTTGTTTAGCAATCAAAGGCTTCTTTAGTTGTTGATCATTTCCTTTATTCTTGTGACTTTAATGTATGATCCAGGGGTGATACTGTAAGGAGAAATTAACTGCTCATCATTCTCAGGGGTCAAAGGGTTAACAGCCAAGAAATATTGAGTTATCAAGTGCTAAATGAAACAAAAGAAGTCCAAGCAAGTCCAGCAAACCAAATTCTTACCAAATGTAAATCTGAAAAGAGCAGCCTTTTTTACTGTTACATTTGTAACAGAACCATTCTTTTTTTTAGCAGTTCCAAGGGGCGAGAAAGTAACAGATCACATAATATTTGGAACACCTGGCACCCTCCTTGACTGGATCCTAAAATACAAAGTTCTGGATCCAAAGAATATCAAGCTGTGTGTGTTAGATCAAGCTGATGATTGCTCTACAGGGACACCAAGATCAGTCAATTAGAATACATAGAATAGAATAAGTGAGTCTTGAGCTTCATATTTAAGGTGAATAGGATGGTTACGTCTACATAACAGACTGACTTGCAAAGCTACTAGAGTTTATAATGGTCACTACATAACGTGTCATGAAGTGACTTGGAGTGGAAGTGACTTGGAGTATTGCTTCTCTCCCCTTCCCTCCCTCCCCCCCCCCCCCCTTGGATGGGATGGCGGGATGTGCTGCATTTCATGCGGTTTCCCTAACAGTTGGGAGATACAGTGTCAGTGCACTTGACTCAGGGTTGCACGATGCAGATTTTAGACCTGGCTGCATCATTGTATTGTGTTCTTGGTCAAAATAGTTTACTCTCACAGTGCCTCTTTCAAGCCTTGAGTACAAATGGGTGCCACAAAATTGTCTGGAAAGCCTGATTAAATGTTGGGGTGGAGGGCTACCTCACAATGGACTGGCATCCATAATACTCCAAGTCGTTTCGGTCTACATAAATGAAAAAGCTGTGGCTGAATGAGCCTCTTGGTTTGAGTAGAAACTTACCTTGCATCCCTGACAGTAACCAATGATATCACTGGGTGTAAGTCTAAAGTACTGTGAGGGGAAGCTTGAACCTGAACCTTTTCATCTGGAGTTCAGTGAAGTCCAGGATTATTATAAGCACAGGCTGCAATGAAATGAGCAAAAGTTGAAGTCTGCACTCAATCCAAGTGGCGCACAAGGGACTGGAGCTTATCCCAGCCTTCTTAGCATGAAGTCATCAGGAATACTGCTTCTCTCCCCTGGATGGGATTTCAGTCCATCACAGGATTACTGCTCAGCATTTTATTGAGCTTCTCTGACAGTTCACTTCCACCCTTTTATACTCATGAGTGGGGACAGGCTCTTTGAGATTAACATGGCCTTTAATGTGGGAACAAATTAAATGACTCAACCGGGTCACAAGTCAGGTACTCTTGAGTTGGAGTCCAGTGCACTAACATCTCACCACTTGTTAATGGGATTATGTATAGTGTAGATATTGTTTTCTTACTTTCCTTATCTCAGAATGTCCCCAAGAGCTTGATTAAGGGATTAAGTAATGTTCCTATGTTTCCAAGGACTTTACCCAAAGACTGTCAAATGTATATTCGTTACATGAGTTCACAACTCGGATAATATTCAAAGTGAAAATTTGCATATTTGAGCGGTCGAACGAAAAAAATCATTTCTCGAAGACTAAAACATATTTTCACAAAAAGACTACATCACAATTATTAGGACATATTAGGCTACGAAATATGAAAGTAGGAGTGAAAGAAAATTTTGGGTGACTTGCCGCTGTTTGTCTGATGCATGCTGACATTAGCTCTTAATATTTTGTTTTGGTATAGTCAATAAAAGTTATTACAATGAAATTTCCTGATGGCTTTATACAATAGTAATAAACGACATTGAATTTGTGAGCAGAAAATGTGGTGACTCTAGATGTCTTTTTCCTTCTAGATGTTAACCTTGGTCATATTTAGAAGGAAAAACACTTGATAATTGTAAGAGTAATAATCGATCATTCAACTATTGCTACAAGTCTTTTTAAAGAGATCACTAACGAGCAGAATGTAGACAGTTTATGAGGTATGAGCATGTTTCGCACCTGCCCAGGGGCTTATTAAAGAACTTGAATTTGTCGAATACTGCATCTGAATTGGAATTCCTTCTTCCATCACAGTGATTATCTGAGTCTAGCCAGGCTTCTCACAAAGATTAGGCCTCGGGTGGTATCCAAGACCTCGGGCACAGTTTTTCCCAATACGGACCGACATGCCCTTGCACTTAACAAAATGCATGCCAAAGGCACTTTTACATTTCTCTTTGATTGGATTGTTACATTTGAAACTCAGCCACTTTATAACTTTCTTTCATCGGATTGTTACATCAGTATCTCACGCACTTTTAGTTTTCTTTTTGTTTGGAGTGTAATCTTGGGATCTGGTGCACCTTTAGAATTCTTTTTAACGGGATTATTACTTTAGTTTCTTGCGCACCTAGAATTCTTTTTAATTGAATTGTTAAGTTACTATCTCGCCTACTTTAAGAGATCTCTTTCATTGGATTGTTACGCAAGTATCTTGCCCACCAGGCGCACCTTTGGACTGAGTTCTCTTTGATTGGATTGTTACGTTAGTATCTTGCGCACCTAGAATTCCCTTTGATTGGATCGGCACGTTAGTATCCCGCCCACTTTTGCAATTCCCCTTCATTGAATTGTTACGTTAGTATCTCACGTTAAAATCTCTCCCAATTTTTGGAATTATCTTCGATAGGATTGAGAAGCTGTCATCTTGTTCACTTTTAATTTTCTTTTTGATCGGAATGTAACGTTAGTACAGTATTTTCCGCACCTTTAGAATTCTATTTAATTAGATTGTTACGTTAGTATCTCGTCAACTTTATAATTCTCTCTCATTGGATGGTTACACTAATATCTAGCGCACTTTTAGTTTTCTTTTTTATTGGATTGTAACGTTAGTATTAGGCGCACCTTTAGAATTCTCTTCGATTGGATCGTTTCGTTAGTATCCCGCCTACTTTTGCGAGTCCCTTTCATTGGATTGTTACGTAAGTATCTCACGCGCGTTAAGGATTCTCTTTCATTGGACTTTTACGATAATATCTTGCGCACTTTTGGAACATTCTTTTAATATATTTTTACGTTAGAATCTTATGCAATTTTAGAATTTCCTTTCATTGGACTGTTACGTTAGTAACTCGTGCATTTTTAGATTTCTCATTGATTGAATTGTTACGCTAGTATCTCAAGCACGTTTAGGATTCTCTTTCATTGGAATGTTACGTTAAGCCGGCGACACACCTGGCGATTTTATACACCGATCGGCGAAAATCACTGCGGACACACTCGGCGATTTTTTTCGCCGATCACGGCAACGTGGCAACTTCAAGGTGACGTTTAAAAATTGCGCAAACCAATGTAACCGAACAAAATGGCGACAGCGAAGCGAAAAAAATTGTTGGCTGCTGCCATAATTTTGCAACCAAAGCGCTCCAGGAAGCCTTCTGAAAAGTGGGACAATAATGAGAAAAATATGGTCGAAGACACGGATTTCTTGAAACGCAGCGTCCTTCGTTAGACGATTAATGTAGCCGCTCGACGTTACATCAAATAAGCATGGCTTTTCAGACTACAGTGTGATTAAATTGACCTCTTTTTCTTCGGTCCAGAAACAATTTTCGATGCCTTGCGCCACTTTGAAAAGTCATATGATAACGTCGACCAACTTGACTGGTTAGTTTTACAGGCAACTCTCGATGGAAAGGGAAGAAAATCGCGGAAACGGGCAGACTTGGCGAATGCCCGCGAATTCAATCGCCGATATCTGACTTGCCAGATATCGGCGATTTTTATACGCCAGTCGTGGCGAGCAAAGTTTTTTTTGGGATCACTTTCAGAAGGAGCTTAGAAACCAAGCTCAACTCAGTAGCCAAGCCTTCTAAATTTGTGCCCAAGCCTTTCCTTGCTTGCGTGACCTTTTTGCTACTACCACACTAGTTAATGTTGTCACACTAGAGAATACAGGAAACATCGGCGTGTAGTAGACACAAGTTCAAATTTTTAAAGCAGGAAAGTGAAAAACGTTTTGAGACCAAAAGGTACGTAAGTATTTTAGTGTTTAACAACCTAAATTTCGTGTTTTACGTTGTAATTTTACAACTAACAGTAAATTGTCAATTT